CTTCCCTTGAGCGTCCACCATCCTTAAGCTCGTTGAGCCTGGTGCCCATTGGCCCACCTCAGCATAGGCCTTGGGCAGTACCGAGACATCGGGGCCGCTATCCAGCGCGACCAGGCATTCATCTCCATCACCTGTGCCAGTGCTGATCATCTGTTTCTTGCCCTTCTGGATGTTGTCAACCTCCATGGGAACCGCCTCATCCAAGGGCATTCTTGTGGGCAGGCTCAAGGAATTCGAGCTGTCCCACTTGGTTGCCAGCGCCTCCAGCTCCATGACCTTGTTCTTCAACTGCTCATAGGTCGTGCTGTCGGTGATCCATAGCTGGAGATGTGACCTCAGATGAGCCGGGACGGCCTGCAAAATCGATGCCACCTTGTTGTCATCTCCATATGTATGCCCGGAAATCCTCTCATACTCAGTCACGATGGACTCGTACACGGGCAATTGCTCTGAGATCGACTTGCCCTCAGCGAACTGGACTCGTGACAGCTGCGTCAGAAGTGCAAGGGATCTGGCCCTCGTCACTGGTTGCATCTCTCGTAGGAGTCGCTGCCATGCCTCGAAGCCGTTTTCCTGCTTCATATGCCTCACCAACTTCAAAGGTCGGTTGCGGAGGTAGGAGATCAAGAGGCTGTAGAGGCGAATGGCTTGGGCTTTTGTTTCGTCTGTCATTTCATCCAGCTCATAGTTCCCATTGAGGTTGTCCTCCACGAGCTTCATGCTGTAGGCCATGGGCGCATCAATGCCCTTCACGTAGTTCTCAAATGAAAACTTCCAGTCACTCCACTGCCTCAACTCGTTGTCACGGGTGTCGGGCTTGAACAAATCTGGAGTTTTCAGATGTCTGGCCCATGAACTCGAGCTTTGAGTTACCGTCAGCTTCTCAAGGGCCGTTGAAATCATCTTCAAACTTTCCTCAGCCATGGTGTGGATGTATGCCACCTTGGGGTAGTAGGTCTTCGATGTCGCGTAGGGCTCACTGTCCTGCTTCTCCTCGTTGATCTCGAGGTTGGTGTAGGTCAGCAACTTCTTGAAGTCCCAGTTTGCCACCAGGTCACTGATTGCGTCCTTGTCCGCTTGATCTCGTAGGTTCTCGACCTTCTTCAATGGCTTCCACTTAGCCGGGACGATGACCACCAGCTGTTTCCTCTCCCTGGATCCTTTTCCTTTCTTCTTCACTTTGTTTCGTACCAGTAGTGAAGCCTTCACTGCACTGGTACTCCTGGCCCACTGTAGCTTGCCCACGCAGCCCTCTGTGTCCACTTCAATGCTGTGGACGTGTCGCACCTTCCACCCTCGATGCTGGGCGACAACCTGTGGTGGCTGGTAGTGGCAGATCTCCTTTGTCCAAGAGTCTCCAGCGCCACCTGCGATGCAGCTCAACAAAAGGAGCTCGACCAGCCAAAAGGAAATCGGATGTGCCCCTCCGGATGACCGCTTCCTCGTGCACCGAGTCGTGGTAATCGTGGTGCTCGTAGTGCTATGGCGCGGGCAACGGAGCGGGCTCAATACGGCCACGCTCCGCTACCATGCGAAGCAAAAACTCCTTTTTCGGTTTGGGCCTAAAGGTCCGGTAAAAGGTGCACTTCTCGATTTGTGCTCATGCGAGATTGGTTGACCTCTCAAAAGAATCAGACACAATATATAACCATCAAATTCATCAACCAATAAACAATTTCAAATCCAATAACCTTAATCATTACCCATAAACCACAATACAAGAACTAGCCAAAATCATCGCAACATCTATCCAAATCCCACCCAAACCCCGTTCCCGCCTAGAAAGAAACGGCCTCCCAACCACTACTAACGCTGGGGTTGCAAAAAAAACAATGTCCCAACGTTTGTTTGTCAATTTCTCCTCTAATTTGTTTTTCGTCAATTCCTTTGCCTCAAACCATATGTCCCAATGCGTATCCCAAAATTGTTGTTCCGCCCCCGCTAGTCTTTAAATGAGTGACTGTGCCGAAACAGGATTGCCGACGTCATCAGTTTTGGCTCAGCAAGCGTTCTTGTTATGATTTTTGGTCAATATGTCCATACATAGAACTTGCCTGGTGAAGGGGTCTTCGGTGCTGGAAGGACAAAATAGCAAATTATCGATTGGCGCTGGAATGAAATACGGTATGAATTATACTGATCATATCTGATCATATTGGACAAAGTGCAACCTGTATCAAGTGCGTGGAAGGAACGGATCGCGACTCACCCAAAGGAATTCAACTGGAATAGCCTTTTCTGCTCCTTGTCTGGACCTTTGGCTTTAGCTTTAGTGCACAGACTATCGAAGCAAAAGAACACCAAATGGTCCATTCACTTGGTCCAGATTGTCTCCTCGACCATTTCCACCTGCAACGACCTGTCCATAGTGCGCACCAGGTTTCCAGCACGTTACACGGCTGCTGCCGGCTTCCTTGGCTTCGGTTTGTTTGTGTCAGCTCTCAGCAAATCATGACTGCGAACACGACCACAGCCTCGGCCCAAAAATTTAGTTTCCCTAAAAATCTAGGAACCACATGAATAGTGCGAGGGCTTCTTCAAGGAAGCTATCCTGCGTCCATACTAGTAGCTTAAGTAACTAGGAGTGTTTTCCCTTATCTAATTAATTAATTAAATAGGTGCCTACTTAATCAAGTACGTAGGAGCAGGCAATAAGAAAAAAAGTGCCACTAGAAACTCTTGTGGATAAGAAATGGTTTGATCCATGCAAAGCGACACTGACAAAGATACTGCCATCCTCGTCATTGTAAAAGATCTCCTGGGGCCCCATGAGCTCTGGAAGTGTTCCATGCCCAACTAAAACCTCACACCGTCTTTCGCCTGGCCACCATCGACTGATTCGATTGTTGCCTAGCTCACAAACCAGGATGGCAAATGCTGTGTCGTGCGGTTTTTTGGTGCGTGGTTTCGAGCTGCCCTGCAAAGACAATGCCACTGGGCCAGCCAGTTGATCCAAGTCGTCCCCCCAACCATTGCCACCAGCAACCACTTCACCCATCTTGGCACCTGGAGCCCAGCGAGTTACACGATCATTCCCAAATTCTGCGATGTACAAAGTCCCGTCGTCGTCTATAGCAACGCCGGTTGGTCGGTTTAATTGATCCAAGTCATCTCCAGGACCTTTTCCACCAGCTACAATCCTCCCTTCAATCCTCGTGTTCTCTTCAATCCAGCAACTCACTGCATGTGCCTTGGAATCAGCAACATAAAGCTGTCCATCATTGTCCACACAAATGGCACCAGGTTCCTCCAAACTGCATGCTGGAGTGTTTTCAGCAATCGTCTTGACGTATTGAGCAAGACCTCTGCCCTGCAAGCTCCATTCTGACACTCGCTGGTTGCCAATCTCAGCTATGTAAATAGCACCATTTGCACCACTCACAATACTTCGTGGTCCAGCCAACTGACTTCTTTCAGAACCTCGTCCAAATCCACCCATCACAATCTCAGCGGAAGCATTGAGCCATCGAGTCACCCGATGATTGTTGAGCTCCGAAACGTACAACCCTGGCAAAGGCTCGGAAGGTTTGTGTGCTTGTGGCTTCACCACGAGGGTCAACTCAATGGCCATTTGTGGGTACTTCTCAAATGGCAATACAGTCTCTAATCGCCCATGCTCTGGCAGCAGCCTCAGTCAGCTCGCTGGCCTACTTATCGGCTGGCAGGCACATTGGATTGAATCGACAATCTCTTTGAACACGGATTAAACAAATGCTTGCATTTGTTCAATGGCAACCCAAGCTTAGAATGTGAACCTGACAACTGAATGCGCCATCTGCATCTTTGTTGCATGTCTTCAACGAGAAGCTGAACTGGCGCCTAGCATGCGCAAGGACAAGTGATGGACCATTTTGCGCAAAAATGCAAAGCAAGCTTGCGGCCGAAGCTACTGGAAAACGTTCACCCAGAGATGTCAGCACATCTTCCTTGAGTTTAGCGCACGATATGGTAATATCAAGGTCCTGCAAGACAAAAGAGCAAATACCACCTGCATCATCTGCTCGTTCAAAAAGACAAAAGAGCAAATATTCATTTGTTCCTAGTAGCGAACATTGCTCCTAGTAGTAAGGCCAGGAGCCCCGTTTGTAGCGTCCTTGTTCCTAGTAGCGATGCCCTTTGCTCCGTTCGTAGCGTTCTTGTTCCTAGTCAAGCCTTGCAAAGCGCACCTTGGGGCCCCAAAGCACCCGGCCAGAAAGCGCGCGAACTTGCACAGATGGCATGGTGCAAATAGCTGCCTGTCACTGTCTGTGCGAACTGAGCAAAAGGAGTTTAAAAGAAGGCCTTGATCTACCTAAAAAAGGTGCTTGATTTACCTTGAAACACTTGGGCCTTTGCAAATACGATCAAATACGACAGCGGAAAGCTGCATTGTTCTCTCTCACGATGTGGAAAAATAACAACATATCGCGTTCTTTTTCTTGAAGACTGACAAGTGCTTCCCACTAAGACTCAACCAATGCCTGCTCCATGGTAGGAAGTACACAACTAGATAGGGAAGCACAATGCTGCGAGCATTGGCATATCAAATATTATGTGCTGATTCCAGGCAAGAGCAGTGAAGAGTAGGTCCGTAACATAAGTTCAAATGCTTCTTGCCTGCATCAGCTCAGGAAACCGAGAGTAAGTGAACTTTGCACTCCAATATCTTGCAAGTGGCAAGACAAAAGCGGCAAAAACATAGCCCTACTGAGCGCAGCTTTGCTGGCTCTCCCTCTTAGTCGCAAGCTGCTCAACCATAGCGATAGGGAACCTGCCAGAAGCAATCAGCAAATGTTATTTGACCAATTCAGCCCAGTCCAGCCTGCATAGAAGAGATTGGGACTGAGCAAGACGAGTAGCCTAGGAGACAAGAGAAAGCAACAGGAGACAATCTTCACTGCAAACTTCAGTCATGTGAACAAACTTCAGCCACTAGGATACCTCACTCGGAGACGATGGCAATACAGGTGTGGCCTTTGCAGCGCAGGAAAACTACGAAGACACCCCTGGCACAATGGATTCTTGGCTTCCAGACCTACTAGCGATGGCCTCCAACCTAATTGCTAGCGATGGCCTCCAACCTAATGGCGATGGGCTCCAACCTAAGAGCGATGGCCTCCAACCTACTAGCGATGGCCTCTTAGAGATGGCCCCCAATCTACTAAAGATGGCCTCCAACCTACTAGAGATGGCCTCCGGCCTGCTAGCAATGGCCTCCAGCCTAAAGGCGATGGCCTCCAACCCAATAGCGATGGCCTCCAACCTAAGAGCGATGGCCTCCAACCTAAGAGCGATGGCCTCCAACCTAAGAGCGATGGCCTCCAACCTAAGAGCGATGGCCTCCAACCTAAGAGCGATGGCCTCCAACCTAAGAGCGATGGCCTCGAACCTACAAGCGATGGCCTCCAACCTAAGAGCGACGGCCTCCAACCTAGAGCGATGGCCTCTAACCTAATAGCGATGGCCTCCAATTTAATAGCGATGGCCTCGAACCTAAAAGCGATGGCCTCCAACCTAAGAGCGATGGCCTCCAACCTAGAGCGATGGCCTCTAACCTAATAGCGATGGCCTCCAACCTAGAGCGATGGCCTCGAACCTAAAAGCGATGGCCTCCAACCTAAGAGCGATGGCCTCCAACCTAGAGCGATGGCCTCAAACCTAATAGCGATGGCCTCCAATTTAATAGCGATGGCCTCGAACCTAAAAGCGATGGCCTCCAACCTAAGAGCGATGGCCTCCAACCTAGAGCGATGGCCTGTAACCTAATAGCGATGGCCTCCAGCCTAAAAGAGATGGCCTCGAACCTAAAAGCGATGGCCTCCAACCTAAGAGGCATGGCCTCCAACCTAGAGCGATGGCCTCTAACCTAATAGCGATGGC